GCTATGGGGACCTGAACAAGATTGGCCTGAACCTGAAAATGAGCGAGATCACTCTGGAAACGCTGAAATGCTGCTATGGAACCTATGGTATTCTATTCTTCACACAGCAAAGAAAATACCCTTCACCGAAGAAGCTCGACAGAAGAAACTAGTTGATCTTGTCAGAGCACTCAAAGCCCGACCAAATCCCCTAGAACCAGTACCAATGACAATTCCCCTAAAGAGAGATTGGGTCTGGGAACTAGGTACTGTTTGGAGTGACCTGATTATTCTGGGCGCCTCAATTGCCGAAGTCAGGAATGATTCCTGTGGATGTGGAGCCGGTTGGTCCTGGCCAGAGCAACAAGCAGAGCAGAACCTGAACGCGTTCTACGCTCGACTGACTGCCAGCGGAGTAGCAAACATAAACGTGCAAGGAGAAATATGCGCCATTGACGCGCTGGAAAAGGCTCCGACGCCATGGTATCGGCGTGTATCGCCACCGCCAGACCATGAGATCCTCAGTCACTACGTTACTTGCGCTGCGCTATGGACTATCATCGCTGGGAAGGAGGTTTATGCTAGGTATCCGCATACGAGAGATGGAAGGGATATCGAGGTGGTGGATAGGATATTGGAGTTGAGGGGCGATGAACTTCCGTGGAACAGATCACGGAAGAGGTATAAAGGCCGGGCGAGGTGGGAGACGGCAAGGAGGGAATACGCGCGGAGGAGGTTTGAGGCTGAGTCTCACAACGAGGATCTATCACCCGAAGTTCGAGACTTGGCTGGACGAGCTGCAAAGGCGATGAGTGACATTGTCTGGCAAAGGTTGGAGGAGAAGTGATTAGTCTCTTGGATAAGTAATCGCGTACGCGTTATCACCGTCTCAAAGTGGGGATAAGACATGCTGCATTGAGAACGTAACCACGATGCGGGGTACCCAGAATAAGACAACAAGACCAATAATAGCAACGGAATAATGTAGGAAGATGCACATTCACATGAAAGAAATGGATTTAAGGGACGAAAGTAATCTAGACTTTGATATACACGATTTGCCGTATTCCGTGGGTCACGCGGCAACAAGGTCCTTTCCCCGATGCTCAATGGGGTTACCGCCACTAACAAGTCTCAGCTGAAGCATCAATAGCGCAAGCTCACCTTTCCCCATTCAAAAATTGGCACAGGTAGCACTGCATATATTCGTTCCGTGCATGAGACTATAGGATTTTAAACATTCACCGTGATGGCCATGTTTCATATGCATCACTCCTCACTGTTCTAGACTGGTCTTTGTGACGACGATGGAGGGGAAGGTTGTGATACCCCTCAATGTGTACAGAATGGATAGGCTTGGTATACGAATTGTCAGACTTTCAGCTGAGGTCAAGGTAACAACCTTTCCGGTTCTGTAGAGGTAGATTTATGGTATCACTCGCGATATAAGAACAGCGCCATTTCCTCAATCTTCGAGGCTACTCTTGAGATCCCCATACTGTTCGATATCTCTATCACTACTCCAACCTAAACACAATGGTCAGCGACGAGCAGATCGAGCATGAGCGTCGCCAACACGCCCGCGTCGGCTCATACTTCCTCGGCCCACGCGCCGAGAACTTTGATCTTCTCAGTGAATTTTTCACTTATGTCTTGAATGAACAGAAAAACACACGAGAGAATCTTTACAAAGATGATCCAGCCTTCATCACTCAAGACATGATCAAGACTGAGGAGTTCCAAGGTAGCATCGCTCGACTCCGTGAAGATGTTAAGGATATCTCCAAGAAGCTGTCGACCAATTCCATTCCGTTTTGGTCGCCGAGATATAATGCTCATATGAACATGGATACTGCTATGCCTAGCATCATCGGATGTAAGTAGGGTTCACACGCTGGTGAATGTTGCTGATGGGATGGTGGGTAGATATGGCGGCTATGATGTACAACCCCAACAACGTTGCCACAGAGGCTAGTCCCTACACTACTGGCGTTGAGCGTCAAGTCGGGGAAGACCTGTGCCACATGCTAGGCTATGGCTATGGTGTTGGTGGTGAGGACTCTGATGTTGTGCCATGGGGCCACATTACCTGCGTCAGTAAACTCGTCCTGTGTCGTGATGATGTCTAACAATATTGCAGGACGGTTCAGTTGCCAATCTTGAAGCTATTTGGGCGAGTAAGTCCATCATTTCACCTATCAAAGCTTTGCTTCTCTGACTGATGACTTAGTTCGAAACCTCAAGTTCTACCCGCTCTCTCTCAAACTCGCCATGGCTGAAGGCGCACCACTCAACTTCCTTACCCGTATTGAGCCACCCTTCAAGGTCACCACCTGCAAGGGTGATGAAAAGCCCTTCACTGAGTTGTCAACTTGGGAACTTCTCAACCTGAAGCCCACAGCCATTCTCCAGATCCCAACTCGTTTGACAAGCGAATATGCCATCTCTGCCACTTTCTTGCAGACTGCCCTGCACGATTATCTGATTCAGACTGTCGGAAAGGAATATGTTGATCAGAAGTTTGGTATTACCAAACCTGCCAAGTTCTTTGTCAGTGCTACGAAGCATTACTCTTGGCCCAAAGGTGGAGGTAAGCAAAGTCAAACCCATCACATGGCTACAATAGGCTTGCTAACAGTATGCAGCTATCTCTGGTCTCGGTTCCGATAACTTTGTCGACATCGCGGTTGATGAAGAAGCCCGCATGGACATCTCCAGCCTCCGCGCCCATCTGGAATCCTGCATCGAAGGCGATGATGAATCTCAGTACACACCCGTCTTTGGCGGTGTCGTCATCATCGGATCAACTGAACATGGTGCCTGTGACCCGCTTCGTCAAGTTGTTGAGCTTCGTGAAGAATTTCAAGCTCGTGGTCTGTCCTTCGCCATCCATTGCGATGCTGCGTGGGGAGGCTACTTCTCGTCCATGATTGAGCGCAGGATGTTCGCTCCCATTCCTGGTGGAGATTTGCCGTTTGTTCCAAAGTTGGCTATCCAGCCTTATACGAGGGAGCAGCTTGAGTTTTTGCCTTTTGCTGACAGCATCACAATCGATCCTCACAAGTAAGTCCACAGGCTCCATGGAAGATTTGTTCTAATAATGGCCGATAGGTCTGGTTACATCAATTATCCTGCCGGTGGCCTTTGCTACCGTGATCGGCGCATGCGCTACCTCATCACCTGGACCAGCCCCATTGTTTACCATCCAGGCGACGACAAGGGAAGTATGGGCGTATATGGTGTTGAGGGAAGCAAGCCCGGAGCTGCAGCAGTGGCAACATGGCTGACGCACAAGACCCTCGGGCTTGAGGTCGACGGATATGGTAGACTCCTTGGAGAGGCCATCTTCACTTGCACCAAGGTTTGTACCACTGCACCCTTTGAGAAAGCATGTACTAATTACGACAGCTCTACTGCCACTGGGCCACTTTGACCAAGCCTGAAGATGACCTGATCGTCGTACCCCTCATTAGACTACCCATTGAGCGCAACGGTGGCTCAGCTGAGGATGTTGCGAAAGAAAAGGAACGGATCCGCGAAAAGATCCTTGGAGTCAGCAATGAGGATCTGTTCAAGGATGAAGAGACTTGGGAGCTTCTCGAAACTCTCGGCGGCGATCTAATGATCAACGCCTTCGCTTGCAACTTCAGGATTAACGGCAAGGCTAATACCGACATCGTAAGTTACATCACTGTCGACTTGGTGCATATACTGACGAACATCAGGGAGAGGCCAACTACCTCAATCAACGTATCTTCCAGCGCCTCTCCTACACCATTGAAGATGATAAGACGCCAATTTCTGATCGACCTCTGTTCCTGACCTCGTCGTCATTCGGTGAAAAGCCTTATGGCAAGTGTTTGACCAACTTCAAGCAACGTCTTGAACTTTCAAACAAGGAGCATACTGCCCATGGAGACCTGACATTCTTGGTCAATGTGACGATGAGCCCTTGGCCTACCGACTCGCCCTTCCTTGAGAGTTTGGTCACTTCCTTCAGGAAGATTGCAGAGGAAGAGGTGCAGGTAAGCTTTCCAGATTTAGCCTTTCATGACTTATACTAACGATCGTAGCATGTCCTTACTCGTAACACCGAGAATCCAGACATTCACGGCTTCGTCGTTCAAGGTCACGACAAGATCTACCTAGTCCACATTCCCATGTTCAACATGGCCGCTCACCGCTGGCAAGTCATCATCACCGTTGAGCTCCCCGACGACGTCAAAGATCTCTACCAGAAGCTTCGCAAGGAGAACCCAGACAAGTTCTACACCATCGCCAACGTGGAGCCTGAGAAACTCGGTAACCTTCTTGAGTCAACCGGCGATGTTGAATTCCGACTGGACGACGGCATTCCGGCCAATGGTGACGTTGAACCTCTGGCCAAGTTCAAGCTTTCCAAAATCCAAGTTGTTGTCAAGCGATCCATGTCGCATGATGACCTGGACAAGAAATACCCAGATAGAATGCCCTTCTATCTTTATGGAAGCAATGCCGAGGCTAACATCGATCATGTGCTGAGAACTTCGCCTAATGCCCAGCTTAGCGGAGATCGCGTCAAACTCAATCTCGAGCCTGCACTGAGCGATGAGCAGCTTGGTAAGGGTGTAGTAGCTGTGCTGGAAGACGTCTATGAGAACTCAATTCAGCCGCTGTAAGTTCTTTTCTTCTAACATCGGAGTTATTCATGCTAATCCTTTGCAGACCGCAAGAGGAGAAAGAGGAGGGAACCTGGGTCCTAAAGACCGATGCACCTGGGCTGTCGCTTGTTGCCGATCATAAGCATAGGGTCTCGGTTTACAACAACTACGATGAGTTCCTTGGAGGGTCTAAGCCCATCTCAGGTGGTGACTTGAGTCTCACATCAAAGATCTTTGCTGATTGGGGAATGGTCAACATGGATTAAACATCATTAGACCATCAATGTAACTCATGAAGAATCCGTATTAATTCCAAATCATAACTACTCTAAATGAACTACCGAGCAATGCATATAATAGCTAGAATTAATGTTGATCATCTCACTTCTTCACAGAGTCAGAACCCATCTCATAGACCGGCTCCTGCTCACGCGCCTCAGGCCCAGCCATCTCATATGCCGGCGCAGGTGTGTGAAACGGCGGGGGCGATGGCTGTTGATGCCATCCCCCGGGTGAAGTTGGTCCGACACTTGAGACAGGTCCACTCATCATCGATATACGAGCATCTGATGGCGCAGGAGATGCCGCCATGCTATGGTCGGGATAAGGCTGCACAGCTGGCTGGAAATACTGTTGCTGAGGATAAGGATTCTGGTTCATAGGGGCGGGAGGAGGAGCTTGTTGCTGAGCCATGACTGGTTGAGCTGGAGCGGGAGCGGGTTCAGGCTTGGATTTACGTCTGCGCAGCAGGCAGAAGACACCAAGACCGATGAGGCCAATGAGAGCGACACCACCGACTACACCGCCGACAATGGCACCAACAGGCGTTGACTTGCTCTTCTTGGTAGGCTCAGGAGCCTCAGAAGTAGTGGTTGTTTCTGCTTGTGTCTCTGTCTCGCTTGCCTGTCCAGCAGAGCCACTACCGCTGTCGGTGTTGGTGGCTGATAGTGACTGTGATGCGATGCCGTCGCTGAGAGTTGTTGTCTTGAAGTTGGCATTCTTCTGGCCGTCATATGTGAAGTCGACAGATTGTGCCTTCTCGACGGATGTGGATGCACAGCGATAGTCGGCAATACCACTTGGGTAGGCATACGTGCGGCAGAAGGGCGTGTCGGAGTCGGTACTGAGAGGTGAATTAGTATTGAGAGTTTGAGACGGCGATAATAGTGTCTCACCATTTAAGATAGAAAGTGTTACTTTGACACACGTCATCGCATGAACTAGGATTGACGGCTACACTAGACTCGACGCAAAGGATATAGATCTCGTTGCCGCAACCGACGAGACCGGTACGACTAGCGGTGGCCCATGAACACGCACGACCATTGGGACAGGTGACTGCAGCGCCTGCTTGCCCAGACAAGTATCCGCATGTTGCATCGGGCGCGACAGTGACCACCAGAGGCTCACTCGAAGAGGCTGCTTGCCGAGCGTGAAGTCCGTTGTGGCCGACAAGCAGCTCTGCTTCGTGAACCAGGCCGTATGGGGCTTCGGTTATCGCTGGTGCTGCATCGCGTACGCGGTTCCTTTGGGCAGCGTGAGCCATCTCCATTGCATTCGTAGCTTGGAGCAGAGCTCCAAGCAGGAGAGCCTGTGAAGTTGACCTCATGGTGGTGAACCTGCAAGCCAAAAAGGTGAAAATTGGTACGAAGATAGTGAGGAAAAAAAGAGATGCACGAAGAAGCAACCAAGACAAGGGACAGGCGACGCGATTGCAGGAAACAATTGTTTTGAAGGAGCCAGCGCAGAACGAGAATGCGGCTGGGCTGCTTCCCCCCTGGGCAGATCAAAACGCCACTGGAGGGCCAGAACCAATATCGTGTGACAGGGCTTGCAGAAGCTGAATCCTCCATACCAGGGTCCTCTCAGCCGCACCCATTCGGGATGATTGTTAGCAATCTCCGCCTCGAAACGGAGCTAATTACTTTGGAAGAGGACTTTTAGACGATAGCTTGAGGTACAAAAATAGCGAAACCGCGATTCTTGGGGAATATTTTGAGGTTCATCCCGTCGGCGAGGGATATATGCAGGGACCATCACGGTCTGGAGAAAGGGTCCAATTGCTTCAAGATGTTGTTGCTGGGACAGGATAAATATCATTGACTGCGCTGCTTAATTGACGCAAAGACCTAGTTCTCCCAATCGGGTATGCGATGACACCACAAAAGCTCTTGTTGCTGGCACCTACGGACCTTTACTCAAGCACTGCCCCTCTACCATTCCGCAATGGATTCATCTTTATCGTCAGCCAACAGCAATCTATCTCAAGCCCAGACCGAATAAAGAAAGAAAAGCAGCAGAATGAGGCATACGATAACAGTGGCGAGGCATACACCGGGCACAGATTGAGCGTCCCTTGCTTATCGTCGCACAGCTTCCCGTAAACAGCACCCCTGCCTCTATACGAGATCTGCTCCGCGGTGCAACACTTTGATCCCGACAGCCCAACTCAATTGGGCATGACCCCCCAAGACCGCTGTTTTGAAGAAACACAAGCGTGAGCCGTTTTCATTTCGGCGAATATGCTTAACATCCGCCATGTCATGTCTCATTGGCTTGGCGTCGGGAGCTGAAAGATTTCGGCGCTATGATTTGAGACTATTGGTCTTGGCAACTGTCTTACAGTCACAGCCCCGGAGAATGAGCCTTGTAAGGCTCTCGACGAGAAACAATCGCGGCAACGGTGCGGTCATGGCTGAGTCGCTACGAAGAAGCCGGGCGGGCAATTGAAGAGCAGGAGATGTAGCCAAGACGTGAGGCTCTGTGAAGACCCGAACAGCGGAGGTCCTGCGATTAAATGGTGCAGAGAGCGGTTCTGTGTTGGTGCTGGTGGTCTAGATGCGACCCTTGGCCGCTAAATTGAGGGGTTGAAACGCCACGTCTGGAAAACATCACAGGCCAGACGAGATCCAACAATTGATGCTTAGTTGATTCAACTTCTCGTTCAGCAACATTGACTACGTTGCTGTAAAAAAATACAAGTGTAAGTTTCCGGCTAGTGAAATAACCTTAAAAGCCTTTGGGACAATAATGGAACATTCACTCAAGCCGACCAAGTTTCGCAGTTCGAGGTTTGTGCATAACATGCATAATGCTTATGCTGACGACGCAGGACTTTATGCACAGAAACTTCTGTCAGCAAATACTGACCTGTGATACGCGCAAGGGACACAATGACATCATTTATCTTTCTCACCTCTGGTTACTGTGAGCCAAGGCATTCACCAACTTCAATGCACGCATCTTCACAATAGCCATACCTCTCGTCCATAACATGGCCATCTTATCCGACTTGCCTGACGAGATCCTCGACAGAGTTTTCGACTTCGTTACAAGTGATCGCGTATCCCTTGAAAACGTCAGCCTCGTCAACCGCCGCTTCAACAAAATCGTCTTCCCTCTCCTCGTGCGCCAATGGAGCAACAGCCAAGAATGTGTTGAACCTTCCATCAAGAGACTTGCCCTTCATCTTCTCCGAAACCCCCATCTTCGACGGCACGTTGAAAGGCTGGACTTTGGTTATCTTCGACCATTACACGACCATGATCCTGCTTCAGTTGACTTGAGCCCTGATAGTCTAGCTGCTCTGGCAGACGCTGCTGAGAAGGATCTCCAAGCATCCAAGTTTCTCTCAACTCACGTGTGCCATCGCATACGCCTCGGGTGCGAGGATGCTATCGCCGTGTTGATCTTGGCTTGGTGTACGAGGTTGACCCATCTGAACATCACGATACCATCTTTCTATCCTGAATCTCGCCAACACTTTATGCCTTTACTTTACGTGAAAGAAGCTGTTGGTAGATTGCTTGATGAACCGGCTGAGATGGCATCGCAATTGCCTCTGAGTCAGGTTCGTCATGTTACCCTGCAACCCTGGAATAGCGAGCAAGTTTTCGACATGTCATATGCTAGATCGTTTCTGCACCTCCCTTGTATCCAAACGTTCTGTGCCTATGGTTTACTTGATGGCCAGGATAATGAGCTGGGTAGCGAGGAAAATGAACTTCCTCTAACACATCTTGACGACTACATGGTGCCTTTCCCAATTTCGACATCACCGATCACAGAGTTAACCATTGTGGGATGTTTACGATCTGGGGTCACAGGCTTCATTACTGCATGTAGGTCCCTCATAAAGCTCAGTGTTCGCATTGATCACGGACTGGAAATCTACGGTTGGCCAGACCAGAAAGAGCTAGCAAAGGCTATTTTGAAACATACATATTCTCTGGAAGACTTGGACCTCGACATTAGTATCCCGAGATTCCCTAACCCAGATCCTATTTTGGAGGAAGCCTATTCACAAATGTTATGTATCCGGACTCTTGCGGTCCATATCACCGACCTTTTCGAAGGTTCCTGGTCCAGCGAAGATGAGAACTCTATTAAGATCGTCCTCGATCGTATACCTCAAAGTACCCAGGTTCTCAAGCCCCGTTCCCACAAGTTCATCGAAAGTTGGGTCAGCAGCAGTAATGACGTGTTCCTCGAGCCATACCTGGAGGGCATTATAGAATTACTCGAGAACGCTGGACCACAAGGGCGGTTTGGCGAGTTGAGAGTCCTGGATCTCTCGGAAGCATTTGTGGATGACCCGATTATGTTTGATATTAAGAGGATTAAGCAATTGGCTACATCCAGAGGGGTCAGGCTTTTGTTGCATGATTGAAGTACTGCCCGCACCTTGGAGAGATATAGAAGTATTTTGAGATGATAATGAACACTTGGACTCTTATAGTTATAATCCACCATCTCTACCACTTTTACTTATTAATCTCGGGAAAATCTCATTTTGCAGTTTCGTCCCTTTCCGTATGATGTGACCCTCCATGCCGAAAGCCTGTTCAGTGAGTACTTGCTACGCTGGACGCGCGTCCTGGCTGCAGATGCAAGAAGCCCGGGTATTCTCAGGCGTCTCTGGCAATGGTGCCACGTATAAAGCAGCGACCCGCAAAGTTTGGCACGGGTGACCAATAGTATGCCAAGAGTCAGAAGGGATGTAACTCAGCTCTACATCATACTCTGTACAGCCTTTGGATTCAGGTTACACATGTGCGGGGTTTGTCCGTTTCTTCAATTCTCCCAGTCTATACGGGGGCAAAGTGATAAAACTGGCAGACGCTGCCCTCGTTCTCTAATGTAACTTTCCATGGCTATAAATATTGCCTATCGGGCTAATACTTGTCATTCCAACTCCTCATTTTTGCGACCCCAATAAAGACCTCTTATCTTTCGTAACCCATCCACCTGAAGTCAATGTCACCGTGGCAGGCAGCCAAGCCAATATGTCATTCAGCAGTCTCTGCAATATCTGCAGGGACGTGGACTTCCCTGGTATCTTCACAGGCCGTGATTACGCCAATTACCCCAATGGCTTCAACCCGTACCGGGCAGATCTCGACTCTCAGAAACAGGTCCCGAGAACCTGGGGGCACATCAGAATGTATGTGCGATGCTGTACCTTTTGCATGTTGACTTTCCATCAGATACAGACATTTAGGATGATGACACGCACCTCAAACCGTCTAAACGTACCCAACCCTTTCCCGGATGAAAGAGAAAATGAGATGGTGATCACCGCGGTTGAGATAGGAACAGGCATGTTTGACGGAGAGTTTACGCAGTGTATTGGCTTTCACAACGGTACATATCGGCATCCCAGCCATGGTTCACTCATGGTTCGTGGTCTTCAGCTGCGTTCTCCGAAGCGCTCTCCTACAGCGGCTTGGGAGCACGCACGTCAAGTCAAGGAACAAGCCGAGTCGCGTTCGGGACTTCAAGCAAACAAGAAACTGAACATAAAATTTGGGAGCTGTTTTGGCGGGAGACTCGTCGGCGCAGATATTGACTTTGAACTCTGTAAAACCTGGTTAGGTCTTTGCAATGAGCAGCATGAGGAGTGCAGGGAGTACAAACCAGTCGGCAAGATAACTCGGCCAAACAGGCTTATCGATGTTCAGAGTAACTGCATTGTCTCTGGATCCTCTTCACTCGATGAATATGCTGCCTTGAGCTACGTCTGGGGTGGTGGTATACCTGGTACCCAGCTAACGACCTCCAACGAGCAAGAGCTCCAACAAACAGGCAGTCTCTCTGCACCAGGCATAATTTTGGGCCATACCATTACCGATGCCATGAAGTTCTGTCGTCAGATCGGCTTACGCTTCCTATGGGTTGATCAATTGTGCATCCCCCAAAAGCCGGGCTCGGTCGACCCTGAGATCCATCACATGGCGTCAATCTATTCCGGAGCAACTTGTACTTTGGTTGCCTTGAGCGGTACTTCCTTTTGCGACCCCCTCCCGGGAGTCCGATCGGGTACACGGCAGCCAGAGACACAACACAAGGCTACTATAAGGGGTTTGAGTATCATGACATGCTACCCATCGCTCTTCACGGAGATAGAGAGCTCAGTCTGGTTCAGTCGCGGCTGGACATTCCAAGAAGCAGCATTCTCGAGACGGATATTTTTCTTCACGACGTCACAGACCTTCTTCCTGTGTCGTGAGACGATGTACTGCGAGGAAAGTGTCTGGGAAGTACCAGGCGGTAGTTCTACGGCAGCTTCAGCAAACACCGAAACGACAGAGGCTGGGAGAATAAAGGATC